TTTTCGTGCTTCAATTCATTCTCCTTTTCAATGATGCGCTTGACCAATACTATGTTCTAATTATTTGTGCTAAATCTTTTTCATATAAAAATCATTTAACAGTTTTTCAATATATTTTTGTGATGTACTTCATTGACTCACATCACATAATAATTTTACAAAGACAATTCGAATGCTTATATCATCTATTTGACAATGATGTAGTAAAAGACAAAAGCAGATTGTTTGGTTTTTTAAATAATTGATGAATGAGTAATTAAATAATTATAGATAAAATTGTATGAGTAGATATTAAAAGATTAATTCAGTAGTTGATAACAATTGATTTGTACTGAGAAAATTGTTCAAAAGAATGTTTTATGTGTTAAAATCGGATGAAAGTAATACGTTCTGATTATTTACCTCAGTGTCAAGTGATAGTCTAATTTGATGGAGTATGTTTTCTTTTTACTAACATGAATAGTTTTGCGCATACTTACAATTTATTACACAAATGTAATCTTTCTTTAATGTTATTTCGTAAAAGACTTACGGCAAAGAAAGAATCTCAAACATTTGAATTGACATAGCTAAACTCCTCGATGATGTGAGTGGATAGGATGTTCACATATGTGTGGGTTCGATTGAATGAAAAACTTGTGTCAACACTCAACTTGCACATCCAACATGTCTAGATCGACGATGAAAGCAGCCCGAAATTTTAACGACTAGTATAATATCTTAACGAACACTGTACTAACACATTCTTGATGAAATACTATGAAGATTAAATAGAACCTTTCAGTAAATTATATAATCAAAGCAGAACAATAAATCAAATACACTGGTAGACCGATTATGTTGAAATCTGTACCAGAAGTGTTTTAATCACAAGTCTAAATGACATTTTTAAGAACAATATTACTTTTTTCATCTTTGTTCAGCGCTGATGTTTTTTGTTGAAATAGAACTTCCAAAAATCAAACATTAACGACGATCTTTAAAAAGTCCCTTTCCTACTCATCATATCATTTTTTCAAAAGACTGCATTTTTGATTCATTCAATAAAAAGCATAATTACTTTCTTTTTTCGTTTTATACATACAATTTGAATTCTATCATCAAAAGAGTTTAGTTAAATACCAATATATTTAATTATGTTTTGTTCCATTTTATACCAAAAAAAAAAAAAACCAAGAAAACAATACATTGAAAATAGACAACAACCAAAAGAAAAAGCAAAACACATTCACATATCTATACATTCAAATATGTATATATACAAACATACAGGCTCGTCTTCAATTGGAACTCTTATTTCATATCCTTCAACAAACGCATTCGATCAAGTTGATACTGTTTAAAGAAAACCCAAAGAAATGTACAAAAAACACATATATTGACAAATACAAAACCAAAAAAAAAAAAAAACCTACTGTTCTAATTACAAAAAAAAAAACAACGAAACAAATTTTTCAATTTATTTGCACGGAATAGAGAGAAGTTAACGACTAGCAAATACACATAGATACAAGAATTCTCAATTAAAGAAAAAAAAAAAAATCACAACACGGAAGCACCCGTTGTTGACTAGAAAGAAAAAACAATACCAATAAATACAGAAGAATTTAATTAAATCTTCTCTTTTATTTGATCAGAAGTGAAGATAATTGGATAATTATCAATAATTGCTTGAATTAATGGTTTAGCTTTCTGACAAATTTGTTCAGCTGTACGTAAATCATGAAATTGTGGTTGAAATAAATTAGGCCACCATAAAACAGCGAGATTCGATGAATCCATATGAGTTAATGTAGCATGTTGTGAAACACTAAAATAACTTTTTTTGTTTTTAAACATATACAGTACTAGCAAACATTCTCACTACCAAGTAAAAAGTATCTAAAATTTAATCCTTTTGTCTCATTGCTGGACCATCAATAGAGCGTGTTGAACTCTGATCGATCTTCATGCGGAGAAACTATAAGGTCAATACAAGTGTTTTCTTTAGATAAGGATATCTCAATATAGAAAATAAATCTCAATACGTTAGGCATCTTAATTGACAGATTAGTATTGACTCTATCACTATTACAAATTTAGTGTCAAGCGATTCTAGTTTGCCTAATTGATGAAAATCTTCGAGAAATGACTGCTGTGTTAAGCTAATTTTAATCATTCTAGTTAGTGTCCTATTTTAATAAAGTTGTTCTTGAAAATTTAACGATCGCTGTCATCAATTCACATAAGATCCATGTTAAGACCGTCCGAAACATTGGAGGATTCCTCATACCTCAAGATTACAGTGGATTGAAGTATTCTATTTGTAACATAGTATAGGCATTCGAATCTTTATTTATTGATAAGAAAATAAAAGTTAATGTATTTAAATAGTCGCGAATCAGAAATGTCAAAAAAACCTTGACTTAGTCGAAAAAAAAAGATCAGTGTTTTCATCATAAATCTTTTGCATTAAGACCTATTGATCTCGAGTTGCTGCTTGTGATCAAGATTTACCGAGTTCTATTTGTAGACAATTTTCTGTAGGATTTAAATTTGCAATACAATATAAATGTTATTCATACTCTCAATTACTTCTTTTAGATTGCTTTTCACAAAAAAAAATAAAACTTACAAATGAAGATGTTTAAAAATATATTTATTTGTTCGATATTTAAGATCATTTGTACGTAATAATGCTTTTTGTATTGGTACAAAATTTTGTTCACGTAATTGATCAACTAGAATAGAAATTTTTAATAAAAAAAACAATGTTTTTTTTTTGTTTTTTGTTTCTCTTGTTACTTGTTAATAATTGACATTGATCAAATTGTTCTAATGATAAAATAGGTTCATCTAATTTTCTCATCATATCTTTAAATGCTGTTGCAACAGCACTTGCTGGAACTTCTAATGAATTAAGATCACAATTTGGATCTTCATTAAGTTTATTAATAATTAATTCAACTTGATTTTTATATCCAGATATTCGATAAAGTCCTTCAATTGTTAAACCATGTTGTTCAATAAATAGAATACATTTTTCAACGAATAATGGTATGCCTGTTTCATTTGACAATATACAACGACTAAGTTTTAAACGAATTGGAACATGTTGATGAGAATTTTCAAGAGATGAAAATGGAGAAATGAATTGATGTGATTGAAATTGAATTGATGTCATTGTTGTTTTCAATAGAGAAGGAGAACATACTGTTGTTAGAGCAGGAGACCGAGCTTTCAGTTCACTTTTCTGCAAAAAAAAAAAAACCAAGTGTCTCATTGTATTTATTAAGCAAGAAGCTAAAATCTTACTTCACGTCTAGCTTGAGCAAAATATTGTAATTGACGACGAATCCAATTAGCTGTTGGTCGTTCTTCAAGTTCTTCAATGGATGCATTCTGGATTAGAAAACAAAACGGAATTCAATGTACATATTTTTATCTTTCTTTTTTTTTAATTTTACTTTGCTATCTTTTGTACATTCACCAACACTTGAATCTTCTTCATTCGATATGACAATACTTGTGGAAGGTTCAGGAGTATTATGAATTCTATTTGAATCTTTTGAATCTAAATTAAAATTATTTATAAGAACCGTTTTTTTTTTTTATAAATCAAGTGAAATAAAAAAGAAATTCTGTACTTAAAAATTAATTCTTAGCATAGATAATCCTCTTCACAATGTGATAAGATACAGTTTTATATTTATATATGTAAACCGAACAGTTTACATTTGTTATTATTCGAAAAATGATTCATCTTTATAATACCATTAATTTCAAAATAGTTATGCATCAGTCTAAGTTTTGAACTGATTGCCTAGATGTTCACTGGTATTTAGTGAAGGAAAAAATTACTAGAACCGGATAATGGAAATGTTTTTATTGATTAATCGGAAGCAGAAAAGGAACAAACTAATAGATATTGCAAATTTTGGAAATAATAATATATCACGAGTAGCTGTAAAATCTGAATCTATCAAATCATTTATTTTTTCCAATTTTCGAACTTTCTCACTTACATTGGCTTCTTCAGGAAGACTAGAAAACTGACTTTCAAATTTTGGCTTGGAACTTGACACAGAGACACCCTCTTTTCTTGCTTCGCTAATATAAACCCACAGATTTGATATTCTGTTTTTCAACATAGAAGCACATAAAAAAAATTGGAAACATACGAAGTAAACTATCAGAGTATTCATAGCTGATTCGAATTTACATTATAGAATTACATAGTCTTGACTCAAAAGCGATTGAACAGTTGCAGAATTCCATTCATCAGGTTAGTTTTACAAAAGAAAAGTTGTTATTTTCCGAAAACATGTCGTGTCTAATTCAAAAATTTCATCGCGAAAATTTTGAGAAATGCATCATTTGATATCTTAATTACTAGTGCTATGTTATTGTTATCAATAGTCATAAGATAAACTATTTTATTTCTATCCTATATCTCTTTTGATCAGTAAAAACATTTTCATTATCCAATAATGATAGTTTCCTTCTATTCAAGAGAACCCTGAACATCCAGTCGACCATTTCAAAAATTAGACTTGTAGATATTCAATTATCACTAACATGCTGTATAGTCTATTTTACTCAAGGTAAAATATTCCATAACTTACCCATTCTAGAATCAATTCCTGAATCTGTTTGTGTTTGATCATTAATATTTTTCTTTCGTCGTTTGAAACTTGGTCGCCGTTTCTTTTTTTGATTACATTTATCATCGTCATTTAAAATATCATCATCAGATCCAGCTAAATGAATTATATGTTCTTTTTTTTTATTTATTTTAAATAAAAATAAAAAAATTAATTTCCTTACGTTTTTTTAGAACTTCACTACTTGATGCTGAACCTGTTATATCATTTTGTTTAGCTCGTATACGTTTTATTTTTCTATCAGATACTTTTCTTTGTAGAACAACAACATTGTGTGCATTTGTTGATGTTCGTAAGTGCTCATCACTTGAACTATCAATAGATGAATCAGTTACTAAAATAAAAAGATATATATATATTTTTTTTTTCGTTCATTTTAAATAGAAATAAAAAGAAAAATCATTTTTTACTCCTAGTTTGTTTTGATGAATCTGTAATCGATTCATCAATAGTACTATTATTAATAATAGATGATGAAGAATTGATAATATCATTATTATTATTATTATTGATTATTAGAGATGATTTTTCATAATATTCTTGAATTGAAAATGGTATTATTTCATTTAATTCAATTATTTCTGGCGTTGCTAATGGAACTTTAACATGAGCAGCAGTTCGATGTTTATATAAATGATATTTCATTTCTTCAACTTCTGAGATTTTTTGACGTGCTAATAACTAAAAAATAAAATATAAAAATGATTTCGATTAAGAATTTTTCTTTTTCTTTACATACATTTGTATTATATTGTGATGAGCCATAATTGCTGATATTACCTAAAGAAAATCAAAAGAAATTTTTACGATTAGAATATATACGTTACAATATAAATAACAAGGTATCTATATAAGTTTTCTTTTTTGTTTCTCGGTTATTATCATAAAAATATTAGCGAAAACGTAATGCGTGAAAGGATAGAAAGATTTTTCGGTTAGAATTTATAAATGAGGAAAAAAAAAACAATAAGCAATAAAGTTACAAGCACGCATATATATCTACGTTACCATTAAATGTTAAATAATTAACTAGAATAAATAGATAATTATGTTTTAGCTAAACTATATAATTTTTTTTTTTATTAGATTTTAAACTATCATCAACTAAATTTAATAAATAAAAAGAAATAAACTACGACTTACTTGGATGTTCAATTAGTTTAGCAAAACGCATAGTAGTTGATTTTTGAAAATAATGACGTTGATAATCTGATATTGAATTTGTGGATGAAATAAACAATAGATTAGGTATTGATGGATCCACTGGTGTTGTCGGAACAATTGTTGAATCTGTACCATTGGTTGAATTGGATACATAAGGATATGATTGATAAGAAAAATCTATTTGTAAAATAAACGAGATTCAATTTTAAAACATAATATTCTTCGCTAAACATTTATAATAATGAAGTATTTCATATATTATAGTGAAATGTTACTAATATACTGTCTATGATCGTATATTAACAAAGTCTGTAGAGATGAGTGACGAAATTTTTACTTCTTTACTTTAGCACTCCTTTTTTTAGATCGCGTTTCTCAAGATGCTTATAGTTCGTTTCTTTTTTTTTTTATTACTTTGCTCATGGTTGGTTGGAGTTGATAATGAATGATGATTTTTCGGAGAATCTTCATTTGACTTAGTTAATGGTGTTAATGAAACCATTTGATCATTGTTGATATTGTTAATTATTGGTTCATGTATATGTTCAAGATTATGTATGATTATATCATTAGTAGATGGATGAGTAGCACGACTATGATTAATAAAAAAACAAAACATAAAGAAAACTTTTTGTTTATTAATAAAAGAAAGAATAATTTGATTTACTCGAAATAAGATGTGACACCAGCAAGAAGTTCTTCCGTTTGATATTGATCATTACTAGTTGTATTTTTATATTTACTAATCGAACATTGATTAAGAAATGATACAAGATGTGCTTAAAAAAGAAATTAAACACATATTATAATGTAAAGTAAAAATTAATATGTTTTACATTCAACAAAATTTCTAATCGTTCCACTATGACATTGACGACAATAATCTGTTCGTCGAGTATCATTTACAAATTTTCTTGTATTTGACAAAATTGGTTCTTTTACACACGATAGAATATAAATAGGTGAATATGTGATTATTGTTCCATTTGTATTTTCATTATCATTATTGTTTTCTTTTAATTTTACGGAAATATATTTTTCCAAATATCTAAGTTAAATATGTAATTCAAGAATAATCTCAATTATATTTCTTCAAATGAATGATTTATTAAGTATGATTTTTCTTTTTTTGATAAAGAGAAAGTATTGATTAGAGTCTGTGTGGTTAGTTTTAAGACTCGAATCTAAAGCAATATGTCATACTGTAAAAGTAACAACTCACTATGACTTGATTATTATAAAATCATCGTCAAGGTTGTCTTAGAAATATGTCGTATTTGTTAGTCATAGAAAAAAAATAATCGATAAAAAGGATTTTGCAGTGATTATCAGATTCATACTAAAACAGTTCGTTGAAATTAGAAGTAAAGTAAGATAAAGCAATAGGTTTAACGAATACTTTCTCTTGTCTTTGAAAATTAATCGTGACTTGAAAAATCTTTTATGAAGAATATTGTGTGTAAAAGAGACTAAGAAACTCTTTAAGTCTGATCATTGCATGACATATTTTAAAAAACAATAAGATTTTGGTACATTTTTTTTTTCATTGAAAAAAAATTTTATCTTTTCTAATTTTGACATTCTTCAGTTTCAAGCACATCTTTTTCTGATTTTCTGAAGTACTCTCTCGTGCTTGGATCTCTTTATAGCGTTCTTCTATCTTTCAAATATTTAATAAAACTGCTAAATGAAACAAGAAAAAAAAAGCTCTTTGATTAGAAATATATTTCATTAACTTACATCATTGTATTGAAACCTGCTTTTCGATCTCGATCATAAAATAAAATAAATCCATCGAAATCGGTTAGTTTAATTGCAAATAACGAATGAAATGATACAGGAATAAATTCAATCTATTCATTAAAAAAAAAGGAGATTTTTGAATATTCTTAAAAGAATTTCTTTCTTATATTTCTGTTAATTACTTTTCGATTCGATTGATCTAGATAAGTATTAATTACAAATGATGATTGATTATTAATCATAAAAGAAAAACGTGAAGATAATTGAGAAGAAAATATTTCAATATCATTAGTTTCACCACCACACATAAAACAAAGTAATATACGAAGATAAATAGGTTTTTGTACTATATTTGAAGATTCTTCATAGAATAAAAGATGTTCAAGTGATGATTTTATTGTATCATTTGAAATGCTCGATATAGAATTACTATCACATTGAGAATATAGATCCACAATTGGTATATCTGAATGAGAAAAGTTTTTTTTTTTTTTTTTATTTCATTTGATGTTTGATTTTAAACTTACGCTCAATATTTAAATGAATTTTTTTTTGAGAAATAAAATCTTGTAAAATTTGTTGAGAATTTGATGATACAAAAAAACATCCTAGACAAAAATTTTAAATAATTTAAATTTAAATAAAACATAAGACTAAATCTAACCATCAATAATTTGAAATTTTAGATTTTTTAGTATAAGAAAATTTATTTGAGAATCAAATGAACCATTCTAAATACAAGAATAACAAATTTTTTTTTTATGTCTTAAAATTCATTTATAACTTACAGATAATATTCGAAAAAAATGAGTAACATCAATATCATTTCCACAAATTAAAACATTCCTATGTTAAAAAAATATAAATTAAATAATTCTGAAGTAAAAAAAAAAAAAAAATGAATTCATACTTGTTCGTATTTTTTAATTTTAATTTTGTTAAAATTTCATTAACAATTCGAATATCAGCACAATTATTTTCCATTGGACAACCAATTTCAAATTTTTTTATTACTTTTCCTTCATTTTCATCATTAATATTTGATAAAATTTTTCTTGTATATGGACAAAAATTATCATCAACATTCATATTACTAAATAACGATATTGATGAAGATTTTCTTCGTTTATATGAACGTCGACGTTGTTTTAATAATTGATTAATATTTAAACATGGATAATAAATACAATCATATAGAAAATGACAATGACACATTATTAAACGATGACGATCAGTTTCACGTGTATTTAATGATTGATATCTATATTCAAAAAAATTCATAACTTTCTATATGTTTTATTACTAACTTTATTTTAAATGTTTCATTCAATTTATGATCTATTCTAGGTCATATAATTATATCTTGCTCTGTTATTGTTCTAATAAAAACAGTTTATGATTACGAACAAGAAAGAAATTATTTTGCATTTTTTTTTTCTAGTAGTGATTATTTTCTTACTACATATTTCGCTTCATACGAAACTCTAGTTACTAAGAGTGCTGTCAATATTGTAAGCTGCCTGTCAAATTTAATTAATGTCAATCTAAATTTAGATTCTACTTCATCTGTCACTCAAAAAGAACTTAAATATGAATGTAATAAAAACTTCGTCTGCATCTCACACGCTTTCATCATCAGTCTTCGAAAGGTCAGAATTTAGAGCTTGTCAATGAACTGAGAAGTGTATTATAAAATGTCTAAATATAATGATAGAACATAACGTAATGTAACAGCAAAGTATACAAGACAGAATAACATCGAGTACTATTAAAAAAAAAACCCAATGGAAGTTTGACAACGGAAAAATTGAATTCTCTTTGTCATTAGTACATTTAAAGAAAGCCAAAGAGATGTCGATTAATTTAACTGACAAAAATTTGATATATGTGTAATTCTACAAATCTCTACTATTAAATAATACCATGAGAAAAGTTTGATAACGCTGTGAGAAGACGTTAACAAGAGTAAAAAGATAATTGAAATTCTTTATGTAATAAATTGGATACTACAATAGAGATGAGCGATTCTAAATCATAATCAGTATCAGTGATTTCGATTAAAAGAAAAGTCTAGTTTACCCATCTCTATATTATAGATCGAATTCAAATTCACCTCATATATGTGAAAAACTGTATACGATCGATATTTTTTTGCATTACTTCCAATTCATTGATAGAAGTATCATTGAAACAACTATTCATCTAATATTCGAGATTATTTATTTTATTTTCTTTCGTGGATATTATTTTTAACATTATTACAGTTGAATCTTAAAATTTTATATTTGAATTTTGATATTCAATAATTTAACAAATTATCTAACCTTAAATCATATTTTATTTGTTGAATAATTTCTTTTTTAAATATATCATCAATTGTAATTGCTGTCATTTTTCTACTATTTAAATTTCTATCATTATTTAGTTTTGTTACTAAATTCATTTGTTCAAATGTATTTATAAATATTTCTAATGATTCAAATAATAATTCAACAAATTGTAAACATATTAAACGATAAAGATATGATTGATGTAATGCAAATATACGTAAACGATCTTGTCCATTTAATGATTCATAACATTCACGACCCAAAAAATAAACACAATCTTTATCATATGAATCACCATAATGAACAAGACCAGCATTAGAAAAACGATTTAATAAATCAAAAAATAATCGACAATTTATTCGACGTGTTTGTTCAATTTGACGATTATTTATATATGATTCAAAACGAAGACGAGCTTCAAATGTATCAAGTAAATCATCAGGAATAATAAGAGATTTATTTGTATTATTACGTTCAAGATCTGACCACATTGATGATGGTATCACAGTTGAAGAATATTGAGGATGTTTTTGCATTTGTAAACGTACATAATCCCAATTTCTAAAAGTTAAAATTATAATTCAATTATTGATATATTTGATCTATGTACGAATTTTTCTAAATCTAGTTCTCCCTTAAGAGCATTAGAAAAATTTATTTTCGAAATTTGAGTTGAAAATTTGCATATAGATATGCTTTAATGAGACTAGTTTATTATGAAAGTTTCAGATCTTTTCGTTCTGTCTATCTATCTTAATATACAGCTATGATGAAAGGATGTCTCTTACATTGCTCATACGTAACAGTAGATTCAATGTTCTTATCTGAGAATAGAAACTAATCAAAAGACTTGTAACTTTCACAATGAATTATTCTCATTATAATCATAACAGAAACTGCAATTAATTGGTTAAGAACTTCTCTCATTGGAACAAACATCTTTAGCAAGATATTCAAGCTTTCTCGTCTAGAAAGTGAGAGAGAAAATTTCCCTTAGGATTTTTAAGGCGAATGAAATATTGCACGTCTTGAATTTTGAGTCCTGTTAACTAATATTACCTTTATCAAAAAAAAAAGGAAAACGAGAGACTCATTTATTCACATGAAAACTTCCATCTAAATGAATTGTATCATAATTTTCAAAATCTATATAACAGATGTGTGAATATATATATATATATTGTTAATTATGTTACTTCCTTTGTTTCCAAGAATACCTTCTGTCTGTTTGATTATGTTAAAAAAAATGTTGACATCTGCAACAAAAAGTCTCGTGATACTGATCGATTTGCATTCCATTTAAGAGAGTACATCAGAGCAAAAGTCAATAGACATTAAAATGTCACTTATTCAATATTCTTTAGTACCCAAGAAAGAACAAATAAATTTTTGTTTTAGTTAGTACTAGTAAAGTGAAGATAGTTGTTTTTCTTTTTTCATAAAAGAAAAATATTTTTTCTAGTTTCATGTAATAACATGTTTATTGTTCATAATAAAATTCTAAAAAGTCTTCGTATTGAGATTATAAAATGATCGATTCTACTTGTCAAAATTTACAAAGTTTTTTAGACTTAAATCTAAGGTTAGACTTCATTGTAAATATATTTTCACTAAAGATATGTAAGAATATGAAAAAACAGAAGTTGCCAAAGTCAAGGCCAGCATTACCAGAAAAAAAGCTCGAAGCGGAACTAAAGATTATACTTCAATGTTGTATGGTCTTAACTCAATTATCTTACAAATCATACTAATCAAAACATAATTCAAGAGAGATGACAAAAAAAAAAACAAACTTGCAATTCATTGACAAAATAATTCAAAAGACAAGTTTTGATATATTATACAACTTACCTTGATATTTTCGATTTTTGATCTCCTAAAAACATTTCAATAATTGGTATTAATCTTTCATCAATTAATTTTTGTCTCAATGTTTTTCTTAATTCTTCTATATGTTCATTGTACAAACATTTTGCTTGTTGTTTACCAAACATATCAATAAATGTTTGTATACTTGTATGATTTTGCCATCGATCATAAAATTTTTCCCATGAACCAATACGAAAATCTGGTACATGTCGATTTAATAATCCTCGATATTCCGTTTGTATAATATGTTTTAATGATTGTTCATTTTTATATGCATCTGTATAATTCGGTGGTATATATTTTTTATAAAAAGTTTTTTTTGTTGTTTCATCACATGCATATAGAGCAAGTTCAAGTACAGATTGTATATTAATATGTTCATGTGCTGATGTATGTATAATAGGTATATTTGGTAATGAATAATGAATAGATTGTTCAAATTCAAGTGATATATTTGATTGATTAGTAATTAAATCATTTTTAGTTGTTACAATTATAATTGAACGACGAGTTTTTAATAAAGTATGAAGAAGTATTAAAAAATCTGATATTGATTTATTTGATGATAAATCATATATACATAAAAATCCATTAATATTTATTTTATCTTTTGAAAAAAATTTTTTTTCCATAGTTAATTGTTCTTCAATACGTAATGTTAATGTTGATATACGTTTTAAATAATTATCAATTAATTCATTATTTACAATAGATATTGATGAATGTTCAATGAGATGAAATATACCTTCACGTTGTTCATCTAAACGTCGATGTTTTATTGAACCCCAATAATACCATGAAGAATTTTTATGATTATTATTATTATTATTATTGTTTGATAGAAATAATTGATAATTATCAATATTTGTATCAATTAAACGTTTACATAATGATGATTTACCAGATAAAGGATGTATGCTCACTACAGATAGACAATATATTGGTGGTAATAATGACATGATAAATTATCCATTCAAAAACATTAAGAAAAATAAATCTACAAAAAAAAAGATAACTGAATTTATATAATTATTTTTAGTTTAAGATTTTCTTGTAATTTTTTATTGTTTAAATAAAAGCCTTAAGGGTATACTTTAAAAATCAAAATATTTATATACATAAAATAGAAATAAGAGAAATAGAATGTGTATGAATGTTGAGAAGAAATATTATTATATGTTGAGTAAAAGTACTCTAAGAAAAATACAAGAAATGAATGAAAGAACTTTTCTTTTTTTTGACATTATCACATACGCTTCAAATACAAGTGGAAAAAAAACAAATTGTTGACATCTTCGAAAGAGATAAGAATATTTATTGGTTTAAATGTATAATCCAATAAGATAAAGTATAGAAAAAGATGGCGTTAGTTATGTCAAAAAGACAAAAAAAAAAAATTTGCAATCAGAGTTACGTTATTATTCTTTCACAAGAAAGATTTATTTCTCATATGATTTTAGAAAAATTGATTCCTTGACATATTTTTACTTTAATCACATGTTCACATTGATTGGCATGATTGACACAGATAGATAGTACTATGTGAGATTGAGGACGCTAAGTCCCAAGTGAAGATCATATTCCGATTCCTGTTTCGTCAATATGAGCGATTCAATAACAATCACTGATATTAATATTTTTTTTTCTTAAGAACAAAAACAAACAAATGAATGATTGAATAGTAAAGTAGCTGATTTGCTTTTCAAGTAGGCTAGATATATCCTAGTGAATGTACTTTATCCTAGTACTAGTATGTCACAGGGACCTTTCGGTAGTTTAATAGGTTTTTAGCACTGGATTATAATATGTTTCTCAATGTTCAATTTACTAATTTGTTAACAAATTTTTCATAGAACATTATTCACCCACACTCGCATTATAGATATGCAAATGGTGCTTTATTCAATATAGTTTCAAGTAAAAATCATGCCATAATGAAACTTGGAAAGAATGAACCGGCGTATCTGATCATTTCAGATAAAATGTATTGGTTGATTAAACCCCAAAATACTCTTTTTGAGATTCTGGTGTTTATTAAGAGCATCAATGGTTGTATCCTCGAGGCTATTAATCATTCGAACGAAAGTATCGTGTTCAGAATGGTGAATATCAGTTTTATTTGTTATCAACTAAGATTTCAATTCAGTAAAAATAATTTTTTTTTTATTTGATTAATATTATAAAACAGAGTATAATCAATATTGAACCTAAAATCGCTTTATTATCAATATTTATTGAATCATGTGTATAAAAAAAAATATGTTGAACTATAAATGAAAAAGGTATTAAAACTTTCAATGGGAACAAATGGAATAAACTAATTGTTTGATAGGACTAGCTGGTTTATCACATCCAATCCCAATTCATAGAACATATTCTTGGTATAAATCTCTTTCAAATTACTATACAATTCACATAAATCCCATTTGCTTTTTTTTTGTCAAAAACATAATTTTGAATGCAGGGTATTCAAACTGTATTGAATTGTAACGAATACGATAAGAAATTCATCGAAAATCATTAAGATCTGTTTGAATCTATTGGCGTCTGCCAAGATTCATGTTATTCTATTTCTCTTTACTGTTAGCTACTAATGAGTCTAATTAGTTTTCTCAAATTGCTAACTTCCATTTATCGATTTTCTCTAAATCAAAACTTATATAAAATTATATTCGACATGGATTAAAATCGGAAATAGTAAAGATTCTTTTTCATCATAGGATTTTATTCAAAAAATTAACAGTTATGATGCAAGAGTTCTAAAAAAACGTAAACAAGTTACCAGCACACAGCACTTCATAAGAATTACTTTTATTTTTTATTGGGTATACCACCTCGATTTAAATATTGAAACTTTGTATCTGAGAAAACTACAACAAGAAGAGAAGAAACGAGTTTATTTTTTTTTATTGATCAAAGAGACTAGTTATGAGAGTATACTAAATCATATTACTCACCATTGATTTAAAGTGTCTTAAGCTCATATTTCATTAGACAGAACTTGTATTCTTTTTTATGAGAAAAAAGACGGAATCTCATTGGTCAAAAACTTTGTCGCATTTCATTACATCCAGAGTCCTGAAACATGTTATCAATTTGTCAATAAATCTCTTTACTTCGATAATAACAATAAATTGCATATCTACAGATGTACATCGGCAAATACTAACAGTGTTAGTATTTGTCAACAAATTCTTGATGTACTTCCTACTTGAAGTTTTGTTGAAATTCATACACTAAAAATCACTTCTGATATGGTTTTCTTTCAAATGATCAAATACTTATTGCTAATGAAATGAATTAGTTGATCTTTATGTGAAAAAAATCATTTAGTTATCATTATTATGAAATGTCTAAAACTATTGACGATTAATTTACATAAACTTTGAAACATCAGAGTGAAGAATTATTATAATTGACTATAGAAATTGAGATTATTAATAAATAATTTTCTTGTGAACTGTTAATATCACAATTCAGCGTAAGATATAATGAATCTGTTGAATTATTTTTTGTTCGAAAATGATTTATTACTAAATAATTTAGCTTTTGAATATTAAGAATATAGTAAAATTACTAGATAAAGTTGCAATTCAAATAATTTCTAATCATGCATGAAAATCTGTTTTGACTCAGCTTGTCAAAACTAATTTAAAATTACTGGCATTGTAAGTCTTTTTCTCTAACGTTAACTTTATTTAGTATCACATAGCTTTTTATTTTCATGATGAATATTGATTAATCAGAATCTAGCTAGATCATTGTATCTACATGATTCAAAATAACTAAATTTCATATGATATCATCAAAGATTTTAATTTATGAATCAAAACAACGTTATTCTATTCTTTTAATTAAATTTTCAAAACTATTAATCAATGACATTCGACGTGACAAAATTGAAAATTCTATTCAAATAAAATAAACATTGAAAAATAATTTTACATCTAATTTTCATTTCAACCGAGCAACTCTGTCAACAAGACATGGAGATCAACATTCCTACGAAATACTTTTAATTTATATATTAGTAATTAAGTATTTTTGAAAACTTATAACAGTCTATATTAATATTTTCTTAGTTTTTTAATTATGTTGAAGCCATAACATCTGAAATCTTACGATTATGAAGTATTGTATTGATTTAATCATTTACTAAAATTAAGAAAGATTTGACGTTGTCACACACACACACACAAGAATAATAATGACTGAATTCATTTAAACACTAATCTTATTTACTTGATAGTATTTTGATATGTATTTCAGACCTTTATAAAAAAAAAAAAAAAATTTAAACTATTGTTCAAATAACACTGTTCGAAGACGATAGATAATCTAATATAAATAAACGAATAAGATTTTCGAGTTTAGTTTCAATGTCATCAAATCCAATTAAACTTGAATTACAAAACTTGAACTTGAGTACAATTGTACTTTCTAATATATTTCTAAATAATTATTTATTCAAGTAATGATAATTCGAAAACTATTCGATATTATTAAATGCTGAATTGTTATTCCAACACATCGAACATCATAAGATCAATATTGATTAATGAAAATCGTATATCAATAAATTCCGTTATATTTGTCTATTCTATGCTGTCAGTAAAATTTATTTCGAATATATATTGATGCCATATTCTTGATTGGATAATAAATCATAAAAATCATTACTTCTACATGATTAAAAATCGTATTAATTTGCATTATTTTTCAGATCATTAATTTTTTTTAATATTTTTATAAATAAAGTACAGATGACGAGAAATTTGTTCATCTCTTCTAAAAGATTATTCGTAAGTTTTAATTTGTCTCGAAAAAATGTGAGAGTACAGTTTTGTATACAGGTAGTCTTCTCTTCTCATTCTTCATTATTTCTTTTCAATAGTTTGCACGTTCGAACAACATATATGTAATCCGTATGTTCTTTTTATTTTATTTTTATTGTTTGATTGATCTTATTCAGAGACGATGTCTCGATTGATTAGTTTTGATGTAATACCTATGACATGAGTTATTATAACCATTGAAAAGGATTGTTGTTGTATATTCATTATTTTTTTTTGATTCATTTGTTTTCTACTTTGTTATGTAAGCTTGATTAATCGAAGATTTAAATTTACACCTGAATACTTTTCTTTCGTACATAATCTACAAAATTAATATTCGTCTATTTCATCACCCATTTTTTCTTATGTAAATTACCAGTTGCGTCGGTAAAAGTTTTTTTTTTTCTCATTGAAGAGTAAAGATTTTTTTTTTTTTTTTGAATTGGATTGATTTTACAGACGATATAGGAATACAAAAAAAAGTGTATATATTTGCGTCAGTTGATCAGGTTTTTCTCTCTTTCTCTCTCTTTTTCGATCATCCATTGTTTGCCAACTAAATATTAGTTTTATGCTTGCATTTTACGAGAACTAGTAAACCTGAGGTGAGTAATAGATGTGTAAGAAACAAAATTTTTTTTCTGTTCTTCCTTTTTTTTTTCTTTTTATGATGTTTTGTTGTTAGAGATGCGTCATTCACGGATGTATAAATGCTGGGTAACTGACACTGAATCATATCAAATATTAGTTTTTACATTTAAGATTATTTGTTATTTTTGACTTAGTAATAATATGTCGAAATTAATGTTAAGTCCAAATTATTGTAGCTGTACTGGTAAGATATTTCTTTATTTAATTTTGATGAATTATTGAAATTTATTATTATACATAGTTCATCGAGCTCGAAATTTATTAGATAAAAGTAAAAATGGTATTGTACAATAAAAATCTTTTTGGCATTCAAAAAAAATTGTAAATCTTTTGTTTTTTTTCTTTTTAATATAAATAGGACTCAATCCTTTTTGTACGATTTCTATGGGAAAAGAAAAGTTTGTTACTGTTGTACGTGAAAAAACTTGTTCGCCCGATTGGCAGGAACAATGTGATATGTAAGAAAAGAAAATTAAAAAAAAAACGAAATTTCTTTTTCTTCTTAAATAAATATTCTAGGCCGATTATTGATGATGCAAGAATAAAATTAACTATATATCATAAAAATAAAAATTCTTTGTCAAATGGAGATTTTATTGGTCGTACTTATGTTTCTTTACGTGATTTAGATGATTATGATCGTGTTCATTCAAAGTAAAACATAGATCTATTTTTTTTTTTATTTTTTTTTTGAATCTTTTATCTATTTAGTTGGTATAAATTAACGGATAAAGACGGAAAACTTGATAAAGATCGTGGAGAAATAGAAGTATCATTACAATTCTATTCGCAGAATAATACAACTGGAAGTGTATTGGATTTAGCAACGAAAAAAAAACATTTGTCACTTAGAGACATTAGACATTCGATAAGTAAGTAAATCATACATTCATTTAAACAAGAGCATGACTTACTTAATTTTAGGTGGAAAGTTAAAGACAGCATCAAAACATGGTAAGCACGATCAACATGGAAATGAAAATCAGGTATTATGACATAATTAAGTCTTATGTTTTTATTAAGTAAATTCGTTATTGTTTCAGTTAGCTGATCAGCGTCGCCATTTGAGTAGTGACAATGGTAGTGTTAATAATTTACGCCGTCCTGATGATTCTACATCTGACGTACGTATATGAAATATTTATTCATTAATTAATTGATGTCTGCTAATTCTCGTCCTCATTTTTGTTTACTGAAAATGTTTACAGCGAACGTTTTCAGTGTTCTACTTTTTACTAGATGTAGCATTAAAAGCATTGCCATATTCAATGAGTACTTTCTCTAATTGCATATTTATGATAGAAGTCATAAGAATAATTATTTTCTTGATCTTGAGAAATAATAGACTTGACCTATCTTAATATCTTTTCTAATATATATTTGATTATAAAATTTTTCTAGTCAACATCATTTATTGGTTCACATACATCCTTGAATAGTCTGCCATACAATGATCCAAAACAACAAAGAAAGGTATGTAAAATGAAATTATTCTATTCAAGTGTTCATTTTTCAGACATTGTCCTTGAGATACATAAGTATATAGTTTTTTAAACCTTTCTATAACATATTAAAAGAATTGTAACAAATGTATGTATGTGTGAGTGAATTTTCTCGGACAAGAAATTTTCTTTCTTGTTTAAATCCAGAGAATTGAAATTAAACAAAATCCTATTTTTAAACAGAAATCACGTGCTCCGAGTAGTGGTATTGGTTCAACAGTAGGTAGTGAAACACCACAATCGTCACGTCGTTCAGTAACGTCAGATTATGAAACATCATCAATACTCGATTCAGCATCGATGTATGGTGGTGAGGAAAGTTCAATACCATCACCGTCTATTCGTTCGCAACTTCAAGAACAACAACAAGAAGAAGTTTTTGTTAATGATCATGTATTATCATCAAATTCTCTAAATAAAAACAAAACAAAAGAATCATTTCCATTATTAAATGTATCAACAATAATCACAAAAAAATCTTCAAATTCATCTTCATTACCAATATCCAAAGATAATAATAAAAATCTTACAATCACAAATGATGATATTGAAGCAGCATTTGATTCTATTGATGATAATAGAACGTCAATGAATAAATCGAAAGATCATGAAATAACATCAATACCAAATTCATTTTTTGGTCTATCAACAATAAAAGAAAATCTTGATGCAGATGAAAATATTTTCAGTTCAACTTCATCAAAACATCAAAATGATGAAGATATTGATTTTGGTAATTATTTTAATCAAATTAATCAACCAAATGAAAATAAAAAAACTAAAAAATCCATTTTGAATATTTCACAATCAAAATCAACTCTTCATTCAAAAGAACAACAACATTCTATACATTCACAATCTGATGATATTCGAACACCATCTGCATCTATCTCTGTAAAACTTAATACTACTTCAAGTTCTTCTACTACTCTTTCTGCAAAAAAACAATTTAATGATATAAATGATTCAACCGATGAAGATGTCGATGAAGTTTTAGGAACAATTGAGGTAAATACATCCGGAAAATGCACGCACACATACATACACATACACACACACATTTATTTCCTCTCTTTTCTTCACAAACAAAAAAAAAAGAAGAATTTAAACTTTTCATCTATTGCACGTTGCATTTATTTTTGGATATGTATGTGTGCAGTGTATTTTCCGACTAGAAATTTTTCATATGTAAAAAAAGACAGCTAATTTAATTTAGCGTATATCCAGTATGCGTTCTTCTGTGAGACGTAGAATTCAACCTCGAGATGATATTATGCTACAATCATTTTCTGAGGTAATATTCGAGTTTTATCTTTTAGAGAAGAATATTTCTTTAATATTCAAATCAATAAGAATTTTTATGATTTATTTAGACTGATAATAAATGGTCTAGTGGTCATGATCATACACCACCAAATCGCAATACGAAAACAACGTTACCAGACATTCTTGGTCAACCATCAGTAAAAAGTATGAAGTTAAGTTTAATAATTTACATAGACTGAGTAAAAGAATATTTAGGTTCATCTCCGTATACAACCTCTTCTGGGTCTAAAAGACTTGTGAATAATGGTCTTAGTGTACTTGGTTATGAAAATGTGAAAAGTACTCCAGTTAATCCAAAAATTCGTCAAGAACTTGAATATCTTGATCGTGACGTACGAGATTGATTATTTCATTTTGTTTTTGAAATAATCCAAATCCTTTTTTTTTTCTTAGGACCTTCTTCATGTAATTGCTTATCAATCGGATTTAATAAAAAAACGTGAAATGCGTTTAAAAGATCTTGAATATTATACTGATGGTTTATTGGTTAAAATTGTTGAACAATGTCCAACTATACTTCAAGTAGGAGGTTCTTTAAAGAAATAATTATATATGCATTGCACACAATGATTAATGCTGCTGTTATTATATAATATCTAGACTGCACGTGCTGTCTGTGCTTTTTTTTTTTTTTTGATTTGCTCTTTTAATGTTGATCGTTGTTAAATTCGTATTTTACTTTAGAATGGATCTATCAAGTTCAAAAGAAAACCATAATAAACAAATATTTGTAAGAGCTTCATCAGGATATGATCTTGTGTTTTCACTCTAGGCTTCTTTTGTTTGTTTGAATAATCTGTGAAAAAGATATCAAGGCTTGTTTATACTCGGATATGCCGGTGTCTCCTTTTCATTGTATGTAGTTAGTCCACTATTAAACTAATAATTCTTTTTTCAAAATGTATATTCGTTGTAATTCGAATAGAAAATTTCTTTAGTTCTACGTATGTGTGTTTATGCATAATTCTGTTCTAATAATGTTTTGTCCTTCTGTTCTTCTTGGAATGTTTTTTCTTGTTTTTGTTTTTTTTTTAATTGAGCATTCACATTAGAAGAAATAAAATTTTGGTGCAGCAAATAATTGCACTATGATTTTTTATTAATTAATAAAAGCATATCTTCTTCCTATAGAATAGTTTTAGTTGAAAACCTCGCAGAATAGATGATTCATAATGAATCAGTCTAATGCTGGATGTTGATGCGTGGTTGAAGATGACGTTATATAACTCAATGAAATACTCATGGTGGTACTGTAACAGCTGGCTCTTACTCTCCAGTAGACTTTTGTTGTTTGCAATGGATCTGAAACGATATATACATGTTAACAAACTGCTTGGTGACATGTTTATTCGCAAAAACTAATACTCATGAAACGTATTTATACTATTAATTATAAAGAGTTTATTGCTAAAAGTAAGAGGAGTATGTGTCCATATGATTCAGTGTGATTAGAAGACTTCTACCTACGCTCGTACTCTAGAAAAGAGACCAAGTATTGATTTATCCGCCCAATAAATACATCAATCATTTTGGATGCAGAACACTACCAAATAAAATGAAATTAGGAGCAATAAGAGAATAATAAAGACAGAATAAATATATAGTAACAAAAAAGAAAAATAAGAAACCTTTCTATATTGCTTCTTCATGATAAACCTCTTAATGTTCTAGTAACGTTATGGTAAAATCAACTATTTCCTTCTTTCATCTATTCTTGCACTGTACATTCACAAATTATGTTTTTTTAAATTTTTCTTTGTAATCTGAACAGTTCAGACTATAACAGCTATTATCATTCATTCGTCTCTCATAATGCGATCTATAGTCAATTTTCTTTTGTTTCATTTTATGCTGGTTGTTATATTCGAATGCATAAACATCTAATTCGAATAGAATCTATTAATAAAATAAAACCACCACAGAAATAAGTTTTTGAATGAGTATTCATCGTACTTGCAACAACCTATTTCTTGAGCATGCAAAAACTATTCATAATCATATATTCACGTCTCAGCGAGGATGTAAGTGTGAGTGTTGATGCAGTTGACAGAGTCTGTTTGTTTTCGAAACGTGATATTTCGATTCGTGCGCATCTTTCATATACTCTTTTTTAATGAAATTCCGTAACAAAACTTACTTAAAGTACATTTTGCATGGTTTGTTACTAATTTTGGCAACTAAAACGATGTCTACAGATAGAGCTCAACAACTTCTACCCAACAGATCCGTTTGGAGAGCAGTTTGCTTTAATATTCATATTTATTTTCTAGAAATATTGTGTTACGGAATTTCATCAGTATCAATATCTTGCGGTATTTTTAAACTATTCAACGTTTTTCACTGTTTTTATTCATACGCATGCATACATTTAGTTTCTTAACTTAACATTAAAGTGCCACCAATAGGTGTAATAGTACAGTCATTCTTGTCAGTTGAAGTCATCGATTGTGATGACTACATTCACGTAGCATTGAGCCATTCATGGACATAGTGACTAAAGGCTGGTCTTGAAGAACACCTATTCTCATTTTCAGCATATTTGACCATCATTTGATAGACATCTGCGACTGTCTTTTTGTTCTTTTCCAATTGTTTCATTAAGTCTTTCAATTTGGACACTAATCTATCATCGCCATAAGTTGAAAAATTCAATGTTTTGACAACATCAACGAGTACAGTTGCGGCACATACTTGTTGAAGAAACTTACACATAGAATCTCCACCGAACACACCACATCCCCAATTGCCAGTGACAATTATCTCATCTCTAGCCTTGAAAAAAGCAGCCCATGCTTTACCCAAATCGCGATCGATATGACGCCGACTAAAATGATTTGACAAACAAGCATCCATAACAAGAATATCTTGAATGTGTGTTGGATTTTGATTTGGATAAGGACCAATGAATTGAAATGCTTCACCATAACCACGATAGTCAACAAATCGTTTACATCCACGAAGAATGACTATTTCATCGGATCTTAATGTGTCACATACAAGAATAGCCAAAAATGCTTCAGGACAGCAGCTGACTAGAAAAAAAAGAGAAACGGTTTTTGAAGAAAAGAGAAATTTCACGCAGCAGTAATTTACATAGAATTTCTTCTTGTGTGGCTGATGAAGTAATCGAATGAATGTGAATTTGTTTATTGGCAAAATCGACAAAGCCATTTGCTTCTTCAAATGATTCCATTCGTTCCGCAAAAACGTTTACTTTGGATTCTTGAATTGGAACTAATTGTTTTTTCCAATCTGGTAATTCTTCAGTATACAAATATCTTTCGATTGAAATCTCTCGATGATCATTGTTATTTTGTTGTTGTGACGAAAGATGGAAATATTCGATCAAACATCGTAGTCGTTCAATAGCCACTCGATCAAATGGTATATGATATAGATCGATCAAATCAATACTTCCATATCCTTTGGTTGTATTAAGGAAAAAGGCATTGGCAAGAAGATAACGAGCTTGAGCAGCCGTATAAGTAACACGAGCAGTGACATTCACTTGAAGAGGTTTAATTGGATTCGATTGAGTATGGTCCGAAGCCCATTGAGCAATAATAGGAAGAAGATCATGATAGAAATCGTAGTTAAGTTGACGAATAACAATGTCCAGATTGGGACATGATCGGTACTTTTTGTCAATGAAGACCAGATCTGTAAGAGTTTGAAAAGTAACATTCTCTTTTGGAATAATAAATGTACGCTGTTTGGCAATATATGTTATCATCGACATGTTACTTCTACAAAATGAATAAATAGAGATGTATTAGCTATTTGAACTCAGTGATGCATGAAGAGAAAGAAAAAAAAATTTGGATAATAAACGTTGTAAACATGATATTATTAGAGCATATGTATAATATTTTTTGATTTACTCATATAATAGTAAGCAAGTAACCAAAACTCGATAGATTGTAAGTTTCTCTCTCAAGATGTAATTGTGAAACTACAGGATTTATTGCCATTGTAAATCTTTGTTTACAAATACGTCTTGATTTTTTCAATTTAAATCGTAAGTTTTCTTCGTTCCTTGAAAGTACACTGCATAATTAAATTAGATAGATCTGATGATCACTGTAGAAAAAAAAATTGTTTTATTTTTCATTCTCTTGCTTAATAGTTCAGTTTTAATCTCAAATATTTTACATTGATTTATTAATGAATCTAGATTATACAACTATTTTCATAAAGCATTATGGTTTGATAAATCGTATGAGAGATACAGCTCTTTCTCGAACAATTTAATAATAATGACATATTGGAATAGACTTTTGTATTTTTAATTTGAAATAGAATCGAGTTTGTTATAAAAAAAAAAATAAGTTAAATTGAAAATACATAAGAAATTGTTCTTTTTTAAAGAGTGATAAGAGGTTTGGATGGAGGGTGATGGGTGTATTTGTAGTTCTCTCTTTATTCTCATTCTCCTTCATGAGTCCCTTTCTGTGCTTTTCCATGTAAGTAGAGAAAAAGAAAGAAGACATTCGATGTAATGCGTCTGAACATATACGAGTCAAACTTGTATGTAAGTCTTATTGATGAGCTACTTTCTCCTTCAAAGGTACAGTGATTGATTGAATAACCAAAAAATTAGAAAGAAAGTCTAATATGTACACTAAACGACGAATAATCTCTCGAAAGAAGTAGAAAAATTGTGACGAAGTGTTATGTTTGTCTTGCTTTCAAAGCGAAAGAAATGAATGATGTTACTATTATCTCGTATTTGTCGAGAAATTAAGAGAAATTATACTAATAATGCATGCCACAATTCGATACTCATAGCAGTTGACAAACAGAAAAAGATAGAGACAAGATCTCCAACCACACATCTAGAAGATCATAATTGACCGTAAAATTGAGAATTTTATACAAATTTCTCTTGAGTTTTTCAATCATTGTTCCTTATCTGCTCTTCCATCTTTGTTCAAGGAGCAATGCATATTTATTTTGCCAAAACTTTGATATTTTCTCAAGATCTGAGGAATAATTGAGAATCCATTTTGCAGTTTAAATAGAATATGGCATTGCGCCACAACAATTATTTTAGACATAGTTCGGCTAGGTCGATTGTTTCGCATATTGAAATAAGAAAATATGTCTAGAAGGGCTCAAGCATATACAATAATGATATGCACATTGACAGTCATATTGAAAGCAATAGATTCTACTATTGAATTCTAGTGGCATTTTGACTTCAAGAAAATGTTATCCTCCAAGAAAAACGATCGATGAATATATAATTCAGATGCGCTCTAAAACAAGGAAATGTTTGTTTTTGACAGAAATGAAACTCTTTTAGAGTTAGAAAGCTGTATATATTCATTCAATAAATTGTTGTTTTTTGTCTTTGCTGTTTGTTGTCAGTAGACTTGATAAAAAAAAAGCATTATCTCATCGCTTTCAGCAGAGAGAGACATACTAAGTTATTATTATGAAGGCCAGAAAAAATATTCTCTCCAGTAAGAATAAAGAGTTTTATTATTCTTCAGTGAAATCTAAAATCGAACAATATTGTCATTGTAAGTACCAACATTGAGCTATTATCGTTTACTATCCATTATTTTTACGGGATAAGTTTTTTTGAGAAAATATTTCATCCTTTCTAGAAGTGATATTTTTTTCTATCGCAGCTTCACATGCCTTCTTCAACAACAACTGAAAGATGCATGTGATAGAAAAGAAAAGTTCTTAACTGTTCTACTTAAAGAGCAAATATTCTTTTTCTTACGATATATCACCAACGTAATGCAAATGACTAAACAGCTTAATCAGTGTAATCCCTTCTAGAATAGAATGGCAAACACAACAGAATTATTCTAACTGTGATCCAGGAGCCTCAATATGTCTAAAGCAGTTTTTCGCGAATTCAAAAACTTACAGGCTGAAAATATCTCTTACTATTACAAATCATGACAGACATGTCGGCATTTTTCTTTCTTTGTTTCCGATCGCGAAATTTGAACTTTAAAATTCAACGTTTAAATAATAAATTCATATATACTTCAGCAGTCATTACCAATTATCTTTAACAATATTACGTAGCATATCTCATAAGTTAAATCCTTTTCTTTTCTTCAAAAGTCGATAGATCAAGATATATTGACTCTCTCTTGTTCGAATCATTGATTTAGAAAAGATAATATGTTGCACCAGATAAAACACTCAATTACTGTTTCCGAAAAGTTTCTGGAACGAGTAAATGTTCTTTAAAGTAGACTCTGTTTTTTAATAAAGATGCACGCAAAGGAAAAAACAAGTAGATTACTAACTTATAAGCGACTTACAATTTTGCCAAACCAAAAACATATCTATGAAAACATGCACTCTTCTTTAGATGTCTTCTAACAACATGCAAGCTGTCATATTTAAAGGCGTACGAAAAATTGCGGTCGAAAATCGTCCCATTCCAACTTGTCACAATTCAACGGATGTGATCATCAAAGTACACGTAACTGCCTTATGTGGCTCGGATTTGCACATCTATCGCGGACATCAATCTAGTAAAACAGACATCATCATGGTTAGTAAGGTTTTCTATTTTCAATTCAGATCAACGAACTTTTGACATGAACAGGGTCATGAATTTGTTGGAGAAATCATTGATGTCGGACCGGATGTAAAAAATTTCAAGAAAGGTGACAAAATCATTGTGCCATTTTCTACATCATGCGGCCATTGCTTCTACTGTACAAAGGCACTTACTTCGCGATGTGAAAAATCTCAAGTATTTGGAACACATTTGCTGGATGGTGGTCAAGCAGAATATGTACGAATTCCTTTTGCTGGTAAGGATTTCCTTCAATGCAATACGGTTTGTATGGTTATTTAGAGAACAAACTCATAAATTTAGCTAAGTAATCGACTGTTCGGACTATAATTCTAATAAAAGCACTTGGCAGCTGCAACATATTCTATTGTATAAAGACTTAAGAAAACTTGATCGGAAAATATCTCACCAAAATTGTTTAACCATTTTTTATGTCCACTTGCAGCCGTGGACCGTGCTAAAGATTTTTGATAGTGATGTATAGATTAATTCAGGTTTGCTTGTGGATTTCTTGGTTAGAAGAATCTGGAATTCTAGCTGATATTGTACAATGTTTCTAGAAAATTATTCTTTTCTTAGATACTACTGGATTTTTGGTTCCAAAGGAAATCCCTGATGACCTTGCGTTTCTTATGGCTGATATATTTCCTACTGGCTATTTTGCTGCGAAGAATGCGTGGACATTGCTTAGCGACCCAGAACGTCAAGATCCAAATCTAATTGTCGTTGTCATCGGGTGTGGACCTGTCGGTTTGTGTGCTATCACTGCGGCTTGCGAGCGATTTCCAATCGTATATGCAATAGATAGTGTTGAAGAACGTCTCGGTAAGTCTTGCCTATTTGTTAATATCTACAAAAATCTTGAAGATTATGTTGACTCGTTGATAATAGAAGAAGCAAAGAAACATGGTGCTATTCCTATCAATCTCAATAATGATCCTGTAAGTGCAATCAAGAAGGTAACAGAAGGTCGAGGAGCAGATGCTATTTTGGAAGTGGTCGGGCATGCTGATGCTTTGCAATTGGCCTACGATCTTATTCGTCCGTGGGGTGTTATCGCGTCTGTTGGTGTGCAGCAAGATGCTTTTCCGTTCAATGGACCTCAAGCTTATGACAAAAATGTACGCATGCAATTTGGGCGATGTCCAGTTCGAGCTTTATTTCCCGAAGCGCTACGACTTTTTTCAGAAAAGCAAGATCAATTCAAAACTTTTGTATCTCATCGTATGAGTTTGTCGGACGCTGCCAAAGCTTACGAATTGTTTGACAACCGATTAGCGCGAAAAGTTATTTTTGATTTACGAACATAAACAGTTAAAATTGCTTATAATAACCTATTTAGAGCAAATAAAATATATCAAATCATTTTCGTAAGATGACAGTTCAGTAAAAGTAATCTGTCATTGGCATAGTAGAAGGGACATCGAACGAATTATTCCACAGCAATTTTGTGGTTTTCTAAGCGAAAGTGAACAAAATTTGGACTGAATATGATTATCTTTTATCGAAGATCCTTGTCAACGCTTTGAAGAATACACTACAGAACTAGACGAAAATTAAATCTTCCTTCTAATCTAACTCGCTTAGAACATCTTCTCGAATAGAAAACAGCGTGTGATTCGAAATTCACAAGCCCACATTCACATCCTACTAATCTTTAGTTTTTCATTGTAACAGTTGCAATATTAAAGAGTAACTTGTTTTTGTGTTGATTCAAATACATTCGTTTTATTCTTCCGTACGAAAATCATTTATAGTAATACTTCATATTTTCTTCATACATGTTACATTTGTAATTTCTTATTGATCAAAACCATACCTTCTTTATTTTTGTTGGTAACACATTTCAATAGTATCAGTTGTTCTCTTTTTTTTTTTTTATAAAACAGGCGCAATGAAACTTCAATGATAACAACTTAATCATTGTGACAGTACTACTACGCAGTTTTATGATTATTTAAAGATGAAAAAATAAAACCAAAGAGAAAAAATTCTCATGTTCTTATCTATTTACCAACGACAAAAATGCTTGCGCACTGTATTTTATTATATGAAATATAGAGCTTACGCATTAATATATATGTAGTATAAAAACAGACGTTGATAATAGAAAGAGAAAATGAAAACCGAAGATGAAAATTGTTGATAAACAGATTGAAGTATTTTAAATACCTTTTTGAGTAAGATTTTCTGATATTCTATTCTTGTATATCAACAATTTGTATCTTCGATTTAAATTTCTTTCAACGTGCCAACTCTATTTTTTACATCAAAAATACGATTTGCAAGTATTTTGTCATTAGTGATATACATGATTGTATATATCAATATATGAATGTATCTCAATCGTTCTAGGGTAAAATCACTTGATCTTTGACTTCTTCAATTACATTTCAACATTCCTATGAAAATAATAAATTCGTTAATAATCTCTCTGTATCAACTTTTTCCAGTTAATTTTGGTATATTTGAAGATCTTCAATTTTAGCATTTGGATTCTTTTTCAGCCATTGAATTTGTTTTTCAACATGAGATTCAATCGGTATCTTTGTCTTGATGATAACATTGCGAGAGGTATTTTCTTATCAGCTAATTGTCTCTTTAGTAAATCGACATATCTTTAAGAAAAATATAATAAAAGCAATACAGTTTTGAACTCGACCAAAAGAACACTTACACCGTTAGGATATCATCAATATCAAGGTAAAATGTAACGATAATTTGAGGTACATTTTTAGGTGCTTGTAGAATACTAGTTAAATAAAAATTTTCCAAAAAGCGACTGTCCATTGTCATCGGTCGCTCACCTTCGAAAATTTCAATGATTACAGTATCCTGGCCGCGTTGACTGGAGTGATTGAAAAATTTAGTTAAGAAATTTGTAAGAATATCAGAAGACTGTGAAAGAAGATCTCTTTCCCACAACAAGGCCCTGAATGAGATGAGACGATTTCAATCCGTTCCATCAGAAGAATTAAGTTTTGAAATATCCCATGCAATTTCTCTTCATTTTTTTGTTCATGAAACATGCGAAATTCTCTCTCAAGATGTATGAACTCAAAGCATTTGATAGATACAATAGATAGTAGAATTTAGTAAACTCTGACCATTTACGTCTTTCATGAATAGAAATACATAATTTCATTTCATGCAAAACCTTACAATGTTTTCATAGAAATTTATATAGTGAAATAAAACGCTGATTTTATGGACTGCTACGTGCTTCAAGCTTGTTTTAATTTCTTTTGTACTCTTTCACCATAATTGTGAATGATTTGAAAATAGTGTGACGTTCATAAGGAACCTTCACTAACTCTATTTCAAAAAAATTCTTTTCATAAGTTTTAGTTTAGAGAAAACCAATTGATAGATAGACTATTTCGATGGATTCTACTAAATTTAACAAGTACAAAATTTATCACAGTCCATGCAGATCTGAAGGAATCTACCGGATTGCATAAGAGTATGAAAGGATCTTCAGTAACCCTTACTATTCTGGAGAAACTAAGTAAACTTACATCAGCAGCAAAGAATTCATCTATGGACAATACGCGAAATATACAGTATTACTAATTACTTCTTAATGCTTTAAGACAGCGTTGAAATCTTTAAAAAAAATAGTAGATCATGAATCTTAATGAAGCCCAGTGAATTCAAACGAATCTCAATGAATTCCAATGTATACGCATCGAATTCATTGCATTTCAACAAGGTTCTAATACTCCAGCTTCACAATTTTGTTTTTGAAGAGAAAAGTAGAATTTATGTGAGATATAACGACCTCTCAGATATTGGATGTTCGTACAATTTAAGTAAATCAACTGAAATTCAGTGTTTGAAGCTTCCGAAGTAGGATTGTGTGTCACAGTGTTTCGAACAACCCTTATTGTAGGATGTCTTGAACTTCTTCGAATTTAATCTGAATTGCTGTTGGATTTCCAATTTCTGGATGGTAATGTATCAGACATCGGCACAGTTTGGTTCCTATCTTGTCAAACAGATCTCGGTTACCCTTTGATTCTGCTTTTAATCCTTATCGGTTCGGTTCTGAGCTCAATTCATGCAGTTTAGAATAACAGTTCGATATATAATTCAAGAAAAATGAATTAAAAATATTTTATAAATAGAAATAAAATTGTTGATACTCGTTACGTTTTAGGAAGGTTCTGTTAATCATGTTATATAAATTATTATTATTATTTACAAATCATCAAAGATATAAAATATCTATGTATACATATACATATATAATAAAATCAGATACGATATATTCGTATATAAGATTTAATATACAATTATAAAATGTACAAATAACAAGAAAATATTAACATG